AACGTTAGGAGGCTTCCCAGGGCGGATTCAAGCACCGCTATCAAAAAAACACATGGAGCACGCCATCGCTCTGTGCCCGGTCAAAAAGCCCTGCAGGTTCGTCTGGATCCCCCCCCCCCCCACAGAAAGAAAAAAAAACCATGTTATGGTCAGGTCTCGAAACGATGGTCCATCTTTCGCGGTCCCTTTATCATCGTAGCCCCAAAAGGGGGCCACAGTTAAATCACCTTATAAATCCTGGGACAACCTCCCGAGCCTGCCGGCCTCGCTTGACCGGAAGCCTGCGGCCACCCCACCCCGCCTAGGGTTTAGGGTTCAGGCTTCAGGGTTGAAAGTTCTAGGGTTTAGGAGTCCCCCACCCCAGCTCCGTTTAGGACAAGAGGTTGAAGGGCTTGAGGAATTTGGATTTTAGGCCCCCCCAGGCCCTACCTAAAACCTGGGCACGAAGCCCGCGTGCCAACCTGAAACGCCCCTGACTCGAGCTGGATAATGGGTATTCATAAGCAGAAAGGAACCTAATGACATAGTTGAGCCCTAAACCCTAAACCCTAAACCCTAAACCCTATGTAAACCCTAAAAGGGTCAGAGATACGCCCAAGTAGGAGTCTTGGGGCTCGTGCAGGCGCCGGTGCTTCTTCCGAAGCTGCGACAGCGTCGGCTCGTGGACCTGGAGGTCGGCCCACGGGTTTAGGGTTTAGGGTTTAGGGTTTAGGGTTTAGGGTTTAGGGTTTAGGGTTTAGGGTTTAGGGTTTAGGGTTTCTGCCTTTGCTTTAGGGTCATAGGGGTTTGGGGGTTTAGGGTGAACCTGTCCATATGTAATGGGAGGCCCAAACCCCGAAACCCTCAACCTTTTCAGGACCGAAGCCCTTCAAGTACCTGAAGGAGTGTCGCCTTTGCGTGCAGGCACTGCTTCTGCTTCCCCCCTTACCTCCCACCCAGCAAGCCCCAAAGCCATGAAGAGATGCCCTACAGCATCTCAGTCTCCCGGAGTAAGTATAACACAGATCAGTACGGTATAAACTAGATCCCCCTTCAAAAAAAGAGCATAATACCTAGGAATGATAATATAAACACAAATAATGGCGTATGATAAATTAATCAAATAGACAACGAACAGATAAACCAGCAGTACAGCGTACAGAAAGAACAAGTTCCCCAAGAACAAATTCCCCAAGGAGTCCTACAGCCTTCATTGCTAAGTCCTGAACCCTAAGCCCTGAACACAATATCCAAAACTCTACTTGGCTGACTTCTGAACCCCTCCTAAAAGTTTAACTTTTAGGCTCCTTATTGTAGTGTCTACAAAAAGCCAAAAAGTTAAAGTCCTAAGAGCTAGCCAGAAGAATAAATCCTGAACCCCTAAACCCTAAATCCTAAACCCCAAACATGGCAGACCAAGCTCCCAGCACTCCCGACCGAAGTGCGTTCAGAGCGGTGCGAAAGGGGCCTGCGCGCAACACGTCAGGAGACCCTGCATGAAACCCTAAGGTTTAGGGTTTAGGGTTTGGGGTTTGGGGTTTGGGGTTAAGGGTTTAGGGATCTTACCTCAACCCCACCGGGGGCGTAAATCTACCGCATCATGTAATCTGTATTGGGTGCCTTTTTTTTGGGGGGGGGTTCTATGAAACACAACGTTTAGGAAGCTCGGAAAACAGAACTCGCCCCATAAACAGACCAACCAACCTAAACCCCGAACCTTGGGGATTGGGACGCAGGTTGTCTTCACACCACAGCCGCCTTCAGTCGGTCCGAAGGCACTATAAATCCCCTGGGGCTACTGGGGTTTAGCGTTTAGGACCTAAAGGGATTGGTGCTCAGGGCTTTAGGGTTTACAGGATTTGCAGAGCTGAGTGGGTTTGCAGGGATTGCAGGGCTTTGAGGTTGTGGGGGAAGGTCCGTAGGGTCTAGAGTTTAGGCTTTAGAATCCGTGAATTTTGGCAGCCCTGGCGGATATGGCGCTTGTCCGAACCTGGATTCCAGTCACCTCGTGACCTAGATTCCAGTCAACTCTTGTCACGGAATCCCTAAACCCTAAACCCTAAACCCTAAACCCACCGCCCCAACCAAAAAACAAAAGAGACCCCAACCCTGTAGCCCCCAAGGTTGCGGAACCCCGAGGCCCTAAACCCTAGACCCTAGACCCTAAACCCTGAACCCCAAACCTGTAACAGGGACGAGAGGAGAGATGTGCCTGGAAGGCTGGTTGGGGGGTTCGAAGAGGTGCCTGCGCTCAGGGGAGTTTAGGGTTTAGGGTTTAGAGTTTAGGGTTTAAGGTGCATAGGGATTTCTGGTTTTCTTGCTGGTCTAGGAGGCTAAGGGGGTCAGGTGCTTGGGTTTCTACGTTTCTTGATTCTTCAGGTCTTGGGCTTTTCGGCTTTAGGCTTTAGACCCTCAACTCGAACGCTATGGAACCCTGAAAGGTACGTAGATGCAGATAGGTTAATTCAAGAAACAGATTAATATATACAAAATAAATAAATGCATGAATAGATAAATACATGATATATATATATATATATGTATATTGTATTTGTTTACTTGCTTAACATAAAATTATTCTTATTATCATCACTATGATCATGATTATATACCATTTATTACGAGTAATAATATTATGATTATTGTTATTATTATGACTATGATGATTCTTATTAATATGATGATGATGATGATGATGATGATGATGATGATGATGATGATGATGATGATTGTTATTGTTACTATTCCGTTTATGATTGTTATTCTTATTAGGTATTCTTACTACATATATATATATACATATTTATGTGGGTTTCCGAAATTCGGGGTACCTTCTTGGGATCCTTATAATCAGGGAATCCTACTGTTTGGGGGTCTACATTCGGGGTCCTGTAATTTCGTAAACCCTCTCAACCCGAAACCCTAAACCCTAAACCCTAAACCCCATATAGTTAGGTATAAGAGGGCCGGTGTCCAAGGCCCATGCCTACAACCCACGAGAAAGGCCCGAACCCCGAAACCTTACACCAGATTCCCCCACTTCCCACCCTTATAACCCTAGACCAAGCTCAGGGTTTAGGGTCATGTAGGGTTTAGGGTTTAGGGTCATTTAGGGTTTAGGGTTTAGGGTCTAGGGTTTAGGGCTTAGGGGTTAGGGTTTAATGAGAGTTCAGGGCATGGCATTTTGTAGGAGCTGCAAGAGCTCACACCATCCACACCTCCACGTCCCACAAGCAACCGCGAGGGTCCCAGGGGATTACTAGGCCTAAACCCTCTTAGGGTGTAGGGTTTAGGGTTTAGGGTTTAGAGTTTAGGGTTTAGGGGGGTGTAGGGTTTAGGCTTTAGGAACGCCCAGCCCACACCACAGACAAACAAAACGCAAACACAGCAAAGAAGGGTTGCACTGAAGGTCCCAGTATCTAAGGGTAGTGACATGGGCCCTTAATATGGTCGCTTACCTCCCTTTAAAGGGATCTGAAGTAGGGCCCTTGGGCTTTCTAGGGTTTTTTAAGGCGCACATAAGGGGCCCCCCTTTTCAAAGGCCCATACTAATTTAGGGATCATGCCTAAACCCTAAACCCTAAACCCTAAACCCTAAACCCTAAACCCTAAACCCTAAGCCTAAACCCTAAACCCTTAACCCTAAACCCTAAACCCTCAACCCTGGCCCTAATCCCTAAATCTTAAACCCTCAACCCTAAACCCTAAATACGAACCCTAAACCTAAACCCTAGGACAGTACAGTAGAGCCAGCCTCAGCTGCCCCAGGGCACCCGAATGCTCCGGCTGGGCATCCACCTCCTCCCTGTCCTCTGGGAAACGCCAAAGGCCCAAGTTGGACCCTAAACGCAACATGAATTTAGGGTTTAGGGTTTAGGGCTTATAGGGCTGAGTGTTCAGGGTTGAGGCCCTAAACCCTAAATCAATTTCGGGCTTCGGTCAGGGTGACGCCGCTGTGCGCATGCACCCGAGCCGCTCGAGCGTGACGGCAAGCTTCGGGGGGCTTAGGCATTCAGATTTCGGGTTTTAAGGGTTTTAAGGGTTTTAAGGGTTTTAAGGGTTTGAAGGGTTTGGGGCCTATGTAGTGGTTTCGGGGCACAAAGAGTACTTGGAAGTTTAGGACCTAGGTTCGGCCTCGAACCTGATTGCAAGAAGTTGAAAAAAACACTCGCCAGCCCCGGCAACAAAGAGGGTGCCCTTTGCTTGGTTGGAACCGAACCCCTGACAGAGAAAACAACCCAAACCCTGAACCCGGAACCCTGAACCCTGACCCCTGACCCCTGAAACCCTATACCCTAAACCCTAAACCCGAAACCCGAAACCCTAAACCCTAAACCCTAAACCCTAAACCTCAACCCTGGGGCATCCTAAAAGTCGACAACTCTCAGATCTTTTCCGCGCTTCGGCCGACCTGCGAGAGGTGGGGGAGATTCCCTATAGCACGGTTTAGGGGTTTAGCGTCTAGGGTTTAGGGTCTAGGGTTCGGGTTTAGGGTTTAGCGTCCCTTTTGAGGTTCCGCAGGAAATGCGGGGCCTAACAGGACCACAGAACCCATGAAGGTTCGAACTCTCCCTCCGCACTCAATTGTAATCCGTTGTTGGGCCGGGGGGGGGGGGGGGGGGGGGGGGGTGCGGGGGCACCAATATGAACTACTCCCCCCCGACCCCCGGCCCTTAAAGGGACTACAATCGGAAACCACCCATCCTGGGTCCTAGACTCTGAACCCACCAGTTCACCTACAGCTTGGATTTGGGGCTTAGGGCTTGGGGTTTAAGGCTTCGCGTCTGCTCCATCCTCACATTGCAGGGATTTGCAGGGCTGTTGGGGCCAGCCGGGGCACCACGGTGGGGGAGGGGAGGTGGTTGTGGGGACGGCCTAGAGAGTTGAGGGTGTTCAAGCTCAGAGCGTTTCGGGTCAAGGGTTTAGGTTGAAGTCAACCCTAAACCCTAAACCCTAAACCCCAAACCCTAAACCCTAAACCCTAAACCCTAAACCCTAAACAGATCTGGGGCCCAAATCACTCACTGCTTCTCGAAGGTCAGGATAAAGTTGTTTGCTGGCATCTCCTGCCGCTGCAGGAACCTGGAGCTCTCTGTGCGATGCTGCGGACTTGGGTTTGGTAGGGGTTAGGGTTTAGGGTTTAGGGTCTAGGGTCTAGGGTTTGTGGTTTGGGGTTTGGGGTTTGGGGTTGGGTCGCCACAGGGTTTCAAAACAGCTCGTAGCCATCGTAGCCTGGACTCCCTTGTCTCGAAACTAAGGTTTTTAGGCTGTAGGGTTTAGGGTTTGGGGTTATTTAGGGTTTAGGGCACTAAGGTGTCTTGTGGAACCCTGAACTCTAACCGGCCCTAACCCTACTACGCAGTGCAAAACACCCATCGGAAAAGTACCCAAGGTCAGCCCTCAACCAAAAAGAACTAAACCCTGCTTCTATTTGCTTAAGAACCCCACAAATATTAAATATATTAACAAGCAGTATACTTCCTTAAAAGGGAAATATGGAGATTGTTATCCTTTTATTTGTTGTGGGTTCTTAAGCAACTACTGGTGACACGACGAAACTCTAAAGCCTGATAAGTCCCCCGAACCCTCCCCCGCCCCCCCCCCACACACGTTTGCTGGATCGTGGATTCCACGCTGCTGCAACGTTCTGGGTAACCCTACACCCTACACCCTCAACCCTCAACCCTAAATCAAAACCCAAGACCCTAAACCCTGCACCGTAAACCAGTTGAAGCCCCGGCACTTGACGCCGTGCTTCTCGGCTTCCGCGGCGATGTCGGCGATATCCCGATAGCCTGAGAGCAGAAAACAAAAACATTGAGCGCAGAACCCTCAATCCTTCACATACATGAAGAATTATGTATGTGCATCTGTAGATATATCGCACACACAAACATATATACATATACATATATATATATATATATATGCATATATGTATATATGTTTATGGACTGTCACATGCAATTTCAGCCGGGTTGCCCCATTCAGGGTCCTGTGATCGCAGCCGCTCATCGAAGTCAGCATTGCTCTGCGTGGTACACTTGCCATCGACCTGGCACTGCGCCCCTAACCCCTAAAGCCTCCAAACCCTAGACCACCCCCCCCCCCCCCCCCCCCCCCAACCCTAAACCCCCTAAACCCTAAACCCTAAACCCTAAACCCTAAACCCTAAACCCTAAACCCTAAACCCTAAACCCCCCAAACACAATAAACCCTAAGCCGCACGCCGGGCCGACTGTCAAAGGCCTTGGGCTTCCGGGTTCCGGGTTTAGGGGTTAGGGTTTAGGGTTAAGGGTTTAGGGTTTAAGGTTTAGGGTTTTGTTGAGGGGTCTCGGGGGAATTAGCGTTGAGGGCTTAGGAGGTTTGGAGTGTCGGGGCTTAGGGCTTGTAAATCGATTTTTCGGGGCCATCACCCTAAACCCAAGCCCCAAACCTAAACCCTAAACCCTACTCCGGACCACCCTTAACCCTAAAGCGGTGTGGAGCTCAGGATTTAGGGGACGCCCGACAATCTAAGCACCGGTAACCTAAACCTCAGATGAACCGCGAATCCTGTGGCTCGTCGAATTACTCTTATTCTAAGTGCTTTTTGGGCCCAGAAAACACTATAGTATAGGGCTTCGGAATCTAAGGGCGAACCCTACACCAATAATGAGACCTCAAACGCCGTACCCCTAAACCCTGAACCCCTATCGCCTTGAACGGGCCGTAGATGACCAGCCGGCCACCCTTGGCCAAGGCTTGCCCAGCGCCAGCGAGGACGCCACAGGTCACCTGGGGACCCGACACAGCAAACTCTAAAACCGGAGGCGCCCGGTTGAGGGGTTCAGTGTTTCGGGCCTCCCCCCCTGTTTTAACCAAAGCACTGAATTCTCCTAGTCGTCGGGATTGATCGACATTGAATTCACCAATATACTACAGAGCTGTTTGTGTGAGGTCCTTCTGGCCCAGCCAGCCTTCTGGCCCAGCCAGCCTTCCTACGGCCTGCAGAAGTTGCGCGCTTCACTTCCTTCCCTTGCAACTCGTTTGTCGAATTGCGCATAGAACATCACAATTGGAAATCCACGACTGACAGGGGAAAGACCCTTGCCAACCGTGTACTCTTTGCAAGGTGAAAGGTTCCCAGGTGGGGTTTGGGCTTCAAGGCACGCCAGGAATGGCCCAGAAGGGCCCGTACCCCCGTGTCTAATCCCTACATACCTGAAACCCCCCCGGAAGTGGTCCCACAATAACCGCTAAGGTCCCTTTCCGCGGTGCCAGCCTTTTTAGCCCCTGAAATTCAACATCGGTGCCGGTAGGGTTCCTGAGAAAGGCCCTAACATGCATGTGTAGCTCGGAGCAGGGGTTATAAGTGCCCTGATGTCAGTTCCTGACATGCAACATGCAATAAGAGTTGTCACTAGAGGTACCAGGACAGAGAAAGATGGGGTGGCTTTTCTTGGGGGTTCACGCGTACTTATAAGTCTACTTATAACCTACTTAGAGGACTTACGTTACGGGGCTTGTAAGTACAGTCATAATTGGGCTTACAAGTACCCCTCAAGTTCAGGGTTTAGGGATGTGCATCGTTTTTGTTGTTGTGCGATGGTTTCTTTTGATGGGGTTTAAGGGTTTTGGTGTTATAGGGTATAGAGGTTAGGTTCTTTGTTCCAACTCTTTTGTCAGGTTAGGGGCCAGGTTTTTATCTAGGGACTTCGCATTGCAGGCTGAACCCTAAACCCTAAACCCTGAACCCTGAACCCTAAACCCTAAACCCTAAACCCTAAACCCTAAACCCTGCCTTCCACGGGCTGATGTGGGTCACGTTGGACATGTAGACCATGGTGAAGTGGCCGGCCTTGGTGCGCACCTGACTGGGGCTTAGGGTTTGAAGGGTTGAGGCTTTAAGGTCTAGGGGTTTGGGGGGTGAGGGTTTAGAGGTAGGGTTTAGGTTAGGGTGTAGGGTTTAAGGTTCAAGTCTAAGCATTCACTAGTCAAGAAATTATTCCAGAAAAATTCCCACCCGCCCAAAGAATCCTATAACATTAAGAAAATATTTCACTGATAGAACGACCTTGCCCAGTAAAAAAAATGACCTTGCCCAGTAAAAGTATTACCTTGCCCAGTAAAAAATATGACCTTGCCCAGTAAAAAAATATGACCTTGCCCTGGAAACCCACAGGCGAGAATTGTAGCTTGCTGCGAGAGTCGAGATCAACAGCTGCGAAGATGCCATGAGTGAGCCGACAGGCATGCAAGCACGATGCAACTGGAGACCAGATCTTTGGCGCGCAGGTCTTAGGAGCACATTATTTTTGGCACATATGCAAAACATTGCAAAACAAAGGTCGCAAAGAAATATCACCATGTTCAGGACCGGGGACGGCCGGTGAAACATGCCCAAGTCAGGCAAGGAGGCTGCACCAGAGGGATAGCCAGGAGGACAAGGAGCGCCCATTGCCCTTCTTATTGAGCGTGCTGATGAAGTCTTGGACGGAGACCTGCAACTCTCACAATTATCACCCCAGGGTCGTGACAGAAAATCTTCTGTCGTCCACAAGAACAGGAGCCTCCCGGCCTCTTGCGCCGAAGGAGCGCCCCGATCTCGAGAAGCGGCGAGCGTCGCTTCGTCCTAGCGAACAAGGTAATAAGTCAGCCGGCATGGACAGCCACAAAACTTGCAACCACTATAAAATGAACAGTCCTCTCAAACAGGCTGCCGCACAAACCTTGTTGCTCACGCAGTTGTCTGCGCAGAACAATGCTTGCCCAAGCTTGTCGATCATCATCACAGCACATGTCGACAAAACTGCCGGACCGTGAAGCCTGCAGCACGGCCAAGCACAACTCGGCCACCAGGAAGCCACAGCTGCCCAAACAACAAAAAGACGTGTCCTCGCACATCAAAACATCAAAATCCTCAGGCAGCCAAACAGACCATCTTGGCGATTAACCTGTTAATTATAGGAGCCGAATTTTTGCTCACGACAGGATGCACAACAAAATGACCATGCCTTCTCCGACGCAAGGCCTGATCCTCAAAAGGAAACCACCAAGCAACCAACTGAGTTCTTATGTTGGCACACCAAGTACAACAAACATCTGCCTTGCCGGCGACACGGGCATTCTTGTTTATCGGGGCCGGCCTCGGCACCAACGCATTCCACTTACGCTCATTCACTTACACGCGTCAACAACTAAGACCAGAACATCCGTTGTCGGACATTGTCGGAGTTACACGAATATCATAAATTTCGTGCTTTTTTCAACAATCCAACAGCCCCGCAACACAACTGGCCTTCCCTGAAACTCCTGGAGGCGAACTGCTTTGCAGATCTTTGCAGAAACTCGAGAACAAGAAATTGACGCAATAACATTTTCAGTCTTGGTGGGGAAGCAAGCGTCCGAGACCATCACGTAAAATGCCCAGCGACGGCGACAAGACATTGCCTCGCAATCACGCAACAGGACAATTGACTTCCCCAAGAATCTTGGACACGGACTGCGTCGCAGACGCGATGCATCATCTGTTCAACAGCACCAAACATCACCAAACTGGATCAAGAATGTTTGCAGTTTTTAGCCGGGAAGCAAACATCCGAGACCATCACGAGAACATCCTGGCGCAGAGATGTTACCTCACAAGCAAGTGCGTGACAGAACAGTTACAGTTGGCTTCCCCAAACATTTTGGAGGCGGACTGATTCACAAAGGCCGCAACATCTCATCGAAAACACCGAATTGCAGCAAGAAACTTTGCAGTTTTGCCTGCAAAACAAGCTTCCGAGTCTATTCCATGAAATTCGCCACGAAGAGTAATCGCCTCGCAAAAGCAAAGACCTTAAAGCAAACATAACACGTTAATGTGACTGCGGCACCGGCCGCTTTGCACATTACCTCAGAATCAAGGAATACCCAGCCGCGCAGCTTTCATCAAGATGCTCTGAACTCTTACGCGATACACTTGGTCCTCGACCCAGAAGATGCGTCGATGTAGCGGCACCTCATAAACGTCACTTGCCACTAAGAACGGAGAACAATCCGAAAAGAGCTGCTCCCATGAAAAACTGTCAACAAAAACAAGCTGCCAACCTTGCGCACAGGCACTTTCGCTTCAACCTGCAGCGGCTGCATCAATATAAAGCGCTGCAGCAACACTGGCAACACACGCCCGTTGAGAAGGCCCAAACCCAGGGGGGGAGGACATGAGCTCCGCCCAGCAAAGGGTCCCTGGCCACATCGATACATAACCAACTCGTAAACTCGCACACACACAAACACATTCGTTTGAGAACTCCACTCGGCCCAACAGCCACAGGTTGGCCTGAGTTTCATCAACATGATTGACAGCGCAAAGGCACACAAACAGTATCCAGAAAAGTTGAACTAGCAAGAGGATAAACTCCTGTAGCAAGGCCGCAACGCGCTTGGTGCGGCGACGAGCCTGCACCAATTCCAGCACACAAGACATGTCATGATGAAACAAAGACTCAAAAGACCCGCTGAGGAATGAGCACGTGATGGCTTCCAACTTGCCTTTCAGGTCGTCAGCAGACACACGACATGGGCAATAAAAACAGCAAAGCTCGATAGACATGATTGTCCACTGACCTTCCAGCGCAAGAAGAAATGCAAAAGTAGCAGAAGTCCGGTCATCGGACAGAAAATTACCAAAAACAAACTCAGTGTTCACACATAGAATGTGAATGGCAAGTGCTCTCCCTCCACAATCCTGCTAATCGCATGATCGAAGAGTCCAAATGGCATATGGGACAACAGCTAGGACTGACGTGAATAACTTAGCACGCACAAGCCGCTGAACGTAAGAGTAGAGTAGCATTATGCCGTGAACTGTGAAATGTGTGCGGTAGGATCCGCTTGCTCGAGACACTTGCCCAAGAACCCCGTGAGGAACTACCCAGAGCCGAAAAGCAGCGACAAGTCACAACTGGCAATCACCAAATTGCGCTGCAATGTTTATGAAACTCGGGGCTTCTTGCGGCGAATGCTTTCTAGACTTTCGGTGATTATCTGCCCTATCATTGAAGCCCCTTCAAATTATCCAAGTGTTTCGTGTATCAAAGAACCAGGGTCAAGCAGGCATGAAAGGTTCCCGCTCTAGAATCGCTGCACAATCTGCCCCAAAGTTATGTCCATAACAGAACCTCAGCCAAAGCAATGTTCCCTGAAGTGTGTCACCCAATCTGACACACATTTGCCATCGCAATGTTCGGATCGAAGGTCTTGAAACACATATGCAGGTTTCCGGTTAGGTCGCATAAGGCAATTCGGGGCTTATGCAATCTGGTTCTGCGGATGGGTTCCAGCCAAATGGGTGAATCAGGGACACGTAATGAAAGTAATGGAAAACTCTGCACATGCATGAAACAACTTTGATTTCGTAACTACAAATAATGTTCCAAAATGAAAATAACTGGTTGAGGTCATCGCCAAAGATCAAGGTCTGTAGGTCGCCAGGAAGCTGCAGCCCTTTCAAGCCATGTTGCAAGCAACCTTCCCTTTATGATCAGGGTACCTTTTTTGGGGGCCCCTTAGAAAGATTCTATTCTATTTGGGTTTAAACGGGGTAGCCCTGAATCCTTTAACATCGGGGTACTTTTTTTTTTTTTTTTTTTGGGGGGGGGGGGGGGGGGGGGGGGGGGGGGGGGTCCCTTTTAAGGGATTCCATTCTATTTGGGTTTAAAAGGGCTACCCCTGTTTTGGGAAATGCCCATATGTTGGTGGGCGGGCTGCAGGTTGGCGGGGGGGGGGGGGGTGGGGTCTAAACATTCTAAAGGCAATTTGTAGTATAATTAGGGTACCGAATCAGCCCTTCATTTAGATCAACCCGCATGGTTAGGGTTGGGTCGCAGCTGCCTAAAGCACTTGCAGCGGGCCATGAGCCGCCGAGCACTTGAAGGTTCAGGGGAAGGATATAGGGTTTAGGGTTTAGGGTTTAGGTTTTAGGGTTAGGGTTCAGGGCTTAGAGTTCAGGCTTCAGGTTTCAGGGATGGCTCTCGGAGGTGACAATCCCTCCCTGCTCACAGGCCTCCAAAATCCCGACCGACCCCCGCGAAAAGGAAACATGGCTTGGGATTCAGGGCATGAGGCCGGTGGCCCTAAACCCTGAACCCCAAACCCTGAACCCTAAACCCTAAACCCTAAACTCTAAACCCTAAACCCTAAACCCTAAACCTGAACTCCCAAACCAGCTCATGTGGCCTCAGGGGGCCACTCCTCCCAGGGTGCCGAGGCATCCAGAGGCAGCGCTGGCAGCACGTTGGGCAGCGCCTTTCAGGGTTTAGGGTTTAGGGTTCGGGTTTATGGTTTAGGGTTTAGGGTTTAGGGTTTAGGGTTTACGGTTCAGGGTTCAGGGTTTAGGGTTAAGGATTCAGGGTTTAGGGCCACCGGCCTCATGCCCTGAATCTCAAGCCATGTTTCCTTTTCCGGGTGACACCTATTGCAAAATATCTTGTTTGTAGAAAACTGATACCTAGTTTTGGGTGTTGCAGAAATGAACAAGACAGTTGGGTGGTCAAAGAGAGTAACTGCAGGTGAGGCGAAGGGTTTCGGGACTTTCTGGCTGCTTTTGTGCCCAGGCCTTGAGGGTTCTTGGAGCATTGCGACCCCGAAGTCATATGCTGAGCTCTCTAAATTCGGGTCCCTTTTGGTTCCCCTAAACAATAGGGGGCCGCCTTGTAATAGTAGCCCCAAAAGGGACCATATTGTGGACACTTGACTACAGGAGGCCAAGGCCCTCCAAGCGCTTTGGAGTTTGGGGTTTGGGGTTTAGGGTTTGGGGTTTTAGGGTTTAGGGTTTAGGGTTTAGGGTTTTAGGGTTTAGGGTTTAGGGTTTAGGGTTTAGGGTTTAGGGTTTAGGGTTTAGGGTTTAGGGTTTAGGGTTTAGGGTTTAGGGTTTAGGGTTTGGGGTTCAGGGTTTAGGGTTAGAGGCACCAAAGATAAGGCCCACATGGCCGGAGTAGACCCTTGGCCAAGTAAACCCTAAACCCTTCTAAACCCCTAATCCATAAACCCTAAACCCCCACCTGCAACCCTAAAGCCCGTAATCTTCCTCTGAAATTGGGTGCTCCCCCTTATACTAACAGTCCTTAATAGGGATTATAATCGGGGAGGTAATATATTCCCTGTTTTTTGACTGTTAGTATCAGGGGGGAACATCCCAGCTCTGAAGCCCAAAGGTCCATGTGCCCACACAGTATATATTTCGGCCCTAAAGCTACCATATGGGTACATGGACCCTTTAGGAAAAGCAATTCCTACGACATGAGTTCCTGTTGAGTCTATTAAACGTAACCAGTTGTAAACAAGATCCTCTTAAATCCCACCAAGGGCACCCCAAACACTAAACCCAAAACCCAAAACCCAAAACCCTAAACCCTCTTAAATGAGATCGTCTTGAAGTCATGGAGGGAAACTACAAGGAATTTGTTCCCAAGTCCTACCTAGGCACCCGCAATACCCCACCTCACGAGCCTGATGTGCATGCTATTTATTTCTTTATTCACATATATATATATATAATGTTGACTTCACATTAGGAATTCCCGCTACAATTATAAAATCCAGCTGCCGGAACACAATAATGTAACCCCCCACAATTACAAAATCCAGCCCGGAATATTTCTTTTTTACGGGCGTGGTGCTACTACCTGATACTAAAACTAATCGTACGTCCTACCAGGATTTAGGCGAATATAATTGAGGAGGCCCTGGCCGGAGAGATTGATCAATCAAGGGGGGGGGGGGGGGTTTATTAATGCGAAGTCAACATTATGTATGTATGTATGACGTTTTGTCTAATCGCCTGTTTATGTGGTGTTATGGGTTCAGCTGTTGACCTGGTTTGCTGAGATCTCTTCTGAACTCGAAGCCTAGACCGTCGAGACCCCCCGAAAAAAGCCCGCCTTCGCACCCACAATGTCTATCTCCTCGCCGAAAATGAACTTTGCATGGAGCTTAACCGCAGCGTCCGTCTTGAGGTTTCGGCTTGAGTGCTGGACGTAGAAATGCTTGACAGACAAGAGCTCACTTGACGTGAGCCAGTGTCCGAGGGAAGGTTTCGCTGACTTCAGAAGCATAGTTGCCTTGTGCCTACAGTACCTGAACGGCAACAGCAAGACATAACTCGGTCCAATTCAATCCCCTACTTTGGAGTAGACGCTGGAAAAAATGTATACACTTTTTAGGTATAAGTAGAGAGAATCGGAACCCAGAACCAAAAACAACAAGTACGAAAGTATGGCACTCCAAAACCCAGAACCTGCTGCACAAAGAAAAACTCGCATCTCTCAGATCGCTGACTCAACTTATACTCAGGCCTTCAAGGGGTTCCGATATAGTAGCTGTAATTAGGGCCCAAGTATGTACTACATAGGCCCCAAACCCTAGCCCTAAACCCTAAACCACCCTAAGCCCCAGACCCCGTACATGGACTTAGGGTTGATTTTGCTGCTGATCCCGAGCCGATACAAGCCGGGACTTGGGACAGCACGCTGCTCTCATCAGGGTCTACAGGGTGAACAACTGTTCAAAAGCATAAGGGAACAAGGGCTTAGGGTTTATAGGGTTTAGGGTTTAGGGTTTAGGGTTTAGGGTATCTACCTTGGGACGTTCCCCTTTATACTAAGAGTCCTTAGTCGGGAGAATGATAGGGGGGTACTTTAATCCCTAGTAATGGACTGTTAGTAAGGCAGCCCTTCAACTGCAGGAAAAACATGCCTACAAGGCGTGGGTTTTAGAGTTTAGGTAACCCGTAACCCTAAACAGAACTGAACTTGGAACCCTAGGAAAAATATAATTTCAGCTGTTTCTTGAGAGTTAGGGTGCCAAAAAATTCAAAAATGTTCCCAAGTGTCCCCAATTAAATCCTAAACCCGAATCACGGAGCTGAGCCCGTCCTGCAACACCGCAGCCCGGGTGGGCTGGTCGCGAGGGACGAACTCCGTTGGCTGCCACTGCAGCTTCCTTGTAGGGTTTAGGGCTTAGGGGTTAGGGTTTTCGGGTTTCTGGTTTAGGGTTTCAGGGTTTGGGGTTTAAGTTGAAGGGTTAAGGGCTAAGGGTTTATGAACCCTAAACCCTACTCAGTTTAAAGTTTGCAGGGTTCGGTTACACACACAGAGACATCTCAAAGATAGATAGCCTACAGCGCCAGGCCGATAGTTCCTAGAATCTTAGACCCGTGCCCCCACCTTTTCCCCGTAGACTCCTGACATAACTGAGCCTTGGGGCATCCTCAGGAATTTCTAAAGCATTAAATTTTTAATGCGGGGTACTCCGCTACTCGGCAGGAGTCTTTAATATCTGAATGCTAAATAAACCCTAAACCCTAAACCCTAAACCCTAAACCCCAAACCCGAAGGAACCCGAAACGCAAGGGGTTTTTCGTTACGTTTTTTGCTGCGGGTCTTTTGGGTTCAGGGTTAGAAGGGATCCACCTTTTCATCTTGACATCGACAGGCAACCAAAAGGCTGGTTTTTCGTGGAGGGCCCCGAGCACACAGTTGGCTTCACAACCCAAAAACACTCGGATCGGAGAATCTGTCGTATCTTTACCATGACCGTCACGATTACGGTTCTGGTTGCGTTGGCTATTGCGATTGAAACTTCGATTACAGTTGCGAGCACGCGGCACGCGTACGGTTATGACTGCTATTCGGTCTGATTGCTAGGAATGCTACTATTTCTGACAGGTTTGCTATCTTTACGAATTACTATGACTTATTGCCGGAGATCCATGACAAGCTTTGGTACTCAGCACGTTTCGGGTGAGTGTCGACTGGTCACCATGCGCAGCATAAAGGGAACAGCAGCACAACAAACCCAACAATGTACAATTCTTTAAATGGAACTATTTTAACCGGGGGAGGGGGGAGGTGGGAAGAGGAGTTCTGGAAAACTCCTAGACCCAACGCCTCCCCTAACCCAAAACGCTAAACCCAAAACCCAAAACCCTAAACCCCAAATCCTCGCCTTGGCCAAGCAACGGTAAGGCGCTGGCGAAGTGCTCCGCGTGGCAGCCGCTCCCAGATGCGATCTCCAGGACGAAACCTCCATGCGGTTCAGGGTTTAGGGCTTAGGGCTTCGGGTTTATGCTAACCCAAACCCTAAACCCTGAACCCTGAACCCTAAACCCCAAACCCCCTAAACCCTAAAGGTTTTTGTTCAGGTTTCAGGATGATCCAAGGTGCAGCCTCGCTCGGGCATCCCAAAATGTTCCATATTTCCCCACCCAATTAGGGTTTAGGGTTTAGGGTTCCCTTATATGCCAGTCCCAGTGGGGGTTAGGTCCGCACATTGAAGGTTTAGGTTTGTTTTCTTAGATGGTATACACCAATAAAATTATCCAAGGGTCGTTACATGGTCCCTCAGTGCATGGGCCCTTAAAAGGGTACCAACAATCGGTACAGGGTATAGCTTGGGGGTTTCGGGTTCGAGCCTAAACCCCAAACCCTAAACCCTAAACCCCAAACCCCAAACCCCAAACAATAACCCTAAAACCCCAAAACCCAAAAACTCAGCTGCGTGCCTTCGGACTTGGGTTTATAAGGGGGTGGAAGCGCCTGCTATACTAACTTCAGTTAAGGGAGTTCGAACCTAAATAGCAAGACTTAGAACCCAAATTAAACCCTAAACCCCAAACCCCAAACCCGAAACCCTAAACCCTGTAGGAGGTGGAAGCGCCTGCCTGCGCCATCTTCGGGAAGTTCTTGTCTGAGGGCCTCCCGCGCGATCTTAACCCTTCATTGGGTTTTACGGTTTAGGGTTTAGGGTTTGGGGTTTTAGGGTTTAGGGTTTCGGGTTTTAGGGTTTTAGGGTTTTAGGGTTTTAGGGTTTAGGGTTTTAGGGTTTAGGGTTTTAGGGCTTAGGGCTTAGGGTTTGGGGTGTATAGGGTTTAGGGTTGAGGGCCCAGGAAACCGTTGAGCACGTCACTTCCCGTGCTCCCCCACTGCGTGCGGCTCCCGTCCTTCTGGCTTTTGGATTGAAGTTTCGGGCCAAAACCCTGAGGCTCAACCCTAAACCCAAAACTCTACACCCTAAACCCTGATATCCTAAACCCCAAACCCCAAAAGCCTGAACCCTGAACCCTAAACCCTAAACCCTAAACCCTAAACAACTTCTGAGTCCTCCGGATGTTCTTGGGGGGAGGCGCTTCTGCAGTTCACAGCCATTGCTACGACTATCGTTCTTGTATGCGGAGTTGCGTCACTTGTGTGTTGTTCTGCTCTGTTGGGTTCAGGGTTAGGGTTACAGGTTTCAGGTTTCAGGTTTCAGGTTTCAGGTTTCAGGTTTCAGGTTTCAGGTTTCAGGTTTAAGGTTTAAGGTTTAAGGTTTAGAGTTTAGGGTTTAAGGTTTAGGGTTTAATTTAGGTTTCGGGTTTAGGGTTAGGGTTTTGGGTTTAATTAGGTTTTAGGGTTTAGGGTTTGCGGCATATGTCCCTAAACCCTGAACCTCTAAACCCCGACTCCTTGACCATCTACTTATTATAGACATATATTTGCATATAGTACCGCCCCCCTCATGTAGCCGCGTGTGGAAAAGAAAAATGGCGAGGAAACAAAATCTGACAAAATCTACAATCAATCGGGAAACCTATTTCGGTTTCCCTAATGGCAGTTTCCTTTCTTTAAAGAGTTGAGGCCTAAAACAACAACCCCCTAGAGTCTTTACAGGAATTTAGGGAATATCAAGAATTTAAACCATTCGTATTTCTAATATCTTGAAGTGCTAAATTGGGGCGAATTTGGGATTTTTGCCATCCTCTTTTTCAAACTCCTTGAATACCAAAAAAAGCAAATGTCGAACTTACTGAATGTAGTAGGCTTGTTAAAAAAAACGCGAGTTTTAAAACTTGGTTTTGCCCCCCATTTCGGAATCTCGTGAATTTAGAGTTTGACCGTGTTTCTATGTAAATGAGCCCTAGTTTAGGAGATGAAGGAATCTTGAAAATTTCGGGACTTTCCTACGTTTAAAGCTAAATCCGGAAGACCATTTAACCAACGAAGCCCTCAACCCGCCTAAACATCCTAAGCGTCGCAAACCTCCCAAACTAAACCTTAAACCCTAAACCCTCCCTTCCCCAACCCCTCCCCCCACCCCACCAAAAACAACAAAGAAAACCATTAAAAAAAAACACCTGCCTCGAGAATGGGGCCCCGATTGCGTTTTGCCGAGGGGTGGTGGCGATCATCGTTGGCCATGGCCCTCTGGGTGGATTTGGGGTTGAGGGCTTCGGGTTTAGGGCTTGTGTAGGGTTCAGGGTTTGTTTACGGTTTAGGGGTATCCCTGTCTGTGTTAATTTAGGGTTGAGGGTTTAGGGCTTGTTTAGGGGTTAGGGTTTGTTTCGGGTTTAGGGTTTGTCTAGGGTTTAGGATGTGAGGCCGCAGTTCAGACGCTGCAGCTTCTTTTCACGCGTCAACCCTTGGAGAGCAGAATCTAGGGCTTCAAAAAACCTTACGAAGCCACCCTCTTTCCCTACAGTTTTGTGGGTTGGAACTACTAATCAAGGGTAGCTACTCAGGTAATTACGTCCTACTCCTTGGACAAAGATCTTCCCTAACCCGAAAATCTAAACGCAACTTTAGGGTGGCTCTAGGGCTTAAGATGCTTGAGGCTGAGAGGCACGTAGCATTTGCCTGGACCCCCCTCCCCAAATTGCAGCTCCTTCTTTTGGCTATACAATGCTTGCCCCTAGACCCGAAACCCTAAACCTGCCATGAAAGTAACTCGAAACCCTAAACCCTAAACCCTAAAACGGAACTTCAGGTGGGTCCTGGCAGCAAGGTAACCACATAAAAAATGCGGCACCCTTTTTTGGTGTGGGTTACTGTTAAAAAGGGAACCCCTAACTGAAGAAAGGGTCAAGGGTACCAATGGGCTACCAAGAATCTCTAAACGCTAAACCCTCAACCCTGAACCCTGAACCCTGAACCCAAAACCCTAAACCCTAAACCCTAAACCCTGAAGTAATATTAGAGGTTTTGGGTGTAGGTTCCGCAAGGTCCAGGTTTTGGGATTGCCCTCCTTTCTTTCTTCGGAGTCCACATCACTCCCTCCGTCCCGACACCCCAAACTCCGAACCCTCAACCCTAAACCCTGGGTTTAGGGTTTAGGGTTTAGGGTTTAGGCTTTCAGTTTCCCTCACTCTTCCCCAGTGAGCTGGAATGGAAAGTGAACCCCCGGTTATACCACTACAATATAGTCTAGACGCGGGAGTAACCTAGGAATAAAGAGGGTACCCTTTTTGGTTTTAAGGGGATTATGAGCGAACCCCAACGCTAAAACAAGGAAAAAAAGGGCCTACTACCGGTCCCAGTAGTGCATTCACTTAGAACCCAACACTAAACACTAAACCCTAACCCTATATTTCGGATAAACCCATGTCGGGCCTTCCATAATTCTACTTGTAACTGGGGGCTCCCGCCCTGACGTTGCGGTTGACTTGGAGGTTCACGGTTGACTTGGAGGTTCATGGTACTTATGAACCAATTATAACTGTACGTAAGACTGTACTTATGACCATATTTGCAGCATATTTGTGGATTATCAGTACAGTCATCCTAAACCCCAAACCCTAGACCCTAAACCATAAACCCTTTTTAAGTACTTAAAACTCTACTTACAACCATATTAGGGCCTTAAGGGGCTTACATGCGGGTTATCAGTACAGGTATCCTAAACCCTAAGCCCTAGACCCGAAACCCTAAACCATTTAAGTACAGCTATAATCGGTTAGCAAGTACCATGAACCGCCTATAGCCATATTAGGGCCCTTAAGGGGCTTGTATGTTGGTTAACAAGTATCATCATCAGCCCCAGGTCGCCCTAAACCCTAAACCCTAAACCCTAAACCCTAAACCCTAAACCCTAAACCCTAAACCCTAAACCCTAAACCCTAAACCCTAAACCCTAAACCCTAAACCCTAAACCCTAAACCCTTCTTGTTGAAGGCAAAGGCCTCATACGGCCTCACGGATAAAGCGGCCTCACCTGCGCTTCAGTCTTCGCCACCCCCAGCCACCCCAGACGGTGCGGGGGGTTGGTACCTTCTTGGGGTCCTTATGAGAAGGGAATCCTACTATTTCAGGGGGACTGTATATTAGGGACCCCTGATTTTCGTAAACCCCCCCCCCCCATGTAATCATTCATCCTAGGAGGCTTTCAGCCTGTGAAACGCGAGAGCCGTCAAGCCCACGTTGACCAGCAAGAACATCGCCCCGTAAGCTGAGAAGGGCAGCCTTGGTACCCCAGTAATATGGGTTTAGGGTTTAGGGTTTAGGGTTTCTAAGGGAACCTTAAACCAACAAAAAGGAAAAGGGCACCACTGGGCTGCCAAGCAACCAGGGCGCATGCAGCAAGATCAGAAGAACGCCTTCCAGGGTCGTGACGGCCATGAAGAAGCCTAGGACGGCCCACAAAGCTGTCCGAAACACATTTCGGAAAATGATCCTCTTAAACCCAAGAAGGGATATATATATATATATATATACATATATATATATATACATGAATATGTTTGTTTGCTTTCAATAAAACAATTGTAAGGGCCTAGCAAGAAGCCGATGCCGACGCACACCAGCAGGACAGACACCAGCTTGTCCAAACATCTAGACCTTCGTTCGCGGCGCGTCAGGTGGGCCAAGGTATACATGACCACAAACAATGTCGGAATCACTGCCAGCCAGTAGGTAACACCTCGGAGAAGCAACCATATGCCCTGATCGATGCTTGCACGCATGGGTAGGAGGGAAAAATCAAGGAACACCCAAAGAACGACCGGCGAGGCTTCCACTATGCGGCGGTAAGAGACCAGGGCAGCTGAGAGATCGGTAAACAATATGTCCAGCACCTCCGTCCGAACAGTCGCCTCAAACTCGCCGACGGATCCAAACCACTTGATAATGCACCGGCGCACAATTTCACGGTCGCAGAGAATTGGGCTGCCGGAGCTCGGATCAATGTGGCCAACCGAGCAGCAATGGGCAACAGCGTCGTCAAACCGAAAGCCCCGCAGCTGATCCGACAAGTTCTCGACTTCCCTACAGTAGGCTCGCACCACGTCGGCGATCTTCAAGAAGATCATCCCAGCAATGGCTCCGATGATGAGCCAAAATGGCCACCACCAAAACTGTTGTGAGGAGGTCAGAACGGTACTTGCAGTAAGAGAGATAGAGAGGTACGCGCCTCCACAGGCAAGGGTCAAGGCAATGCTTGCAGCGGCCATCACGGGCCCTAGGAGCGTCGGGCGTATGATGAAGCGTGGCTTCTGGTTCCTAGACCCAGGAGTAACCCAGGAATAAAAAAGGGCACAGTTTTTTTGGTTTTAAGAGGATAAATGAGGGAAGCCCCCACCCCCAAAAAAAGGAACAAAAACGGGCCTACTCCCGGTCCTAGGTTCTGCGGGCGGCTGCGCAAGAAGGCTGCAACCTCGAAGACACACCACAGGCCTCAGCGGCTCATGTATGTAGAAGCGCCTGTACTTATGAGAGTACACCAGGTCGTATCCCCCTTAGTTACTCTATATGGGCCCTTACCCCTAAACCCTCAAAAACCTAAACCCTCAACACGCGCTTCCAAGAAGCGCGTTTGGTAGGTCGTGTCCCAGAGGACCAACATGGAGTTCGAGCTTTTCAGTATGGCGCCCATGCTGAAGAGGCCCTCGAGCTTCGGCCCATGATCGTCGCTAATACCTGGGATCTCCAGTATATGTAGGGACCCTAAACCTAAACCCTAGAAACCCTTAACCCCAAACTGTAAGGAAACCGCCTCGGACCTCAAATAAGGAGGAAGGGCCTACTAGGGAGACCTAGGTGCAGAGCCGGTCCAGAAACACAGGCTCTTGCCGCCGCCAGAAACAGAAAACTAGCCCATATGTGACCAAACCGATGGCAAAGCAGGAGGGCACAGCCCATCCGGCCAAAGTGGAAATAAGCGCCTCAAGGTGTGAGGCTCGCGACAGGCCTAAGAACAGAGTCGCGCCGAGTGCAGGCATCGTGCCAATGAGAGCAGCAGCCGTAGCATTCTGAAGAAAAAAGAGCGTGGTGATCTTTGCCCATTTCGAGCCGTGCCAGCTGTGCGACCAGAACTGCATGCTGCTTGCCGGCTTGCTCAGGGAGAAAAAGCCACCTTTAACTTCCACACCCCGGAGGGGAGCACCGAACCTCTTCAGCGCTTGGAAGGCCCGCGTGGCTCGGACGATGTCTGGCCGCGTGGGCTCCATTCGAGACATTGCGTCGGCGCATCTGCGTATGACCTCCTCGGTAAGGCGGTCAAGGTTGTGCATGCCTGTTGCTTCAGTCCCGTCGGTGTGAGAACGCAGGTCGCCCAATTCTTGGGCAACAGGCGTAAGACTGTCCTCGCTGCTGCTTAGGTCTCCGGAGTCGGACGGGCCGTTGACATCACTGCTGCCGATGTCAAGCTGCTCCTGCGCCCTTTCGCGGGGCACCGACAGTTCGAGGTCAACTCTCGTGACCCATTCTCCGAGATCCACCGCTGCTCCGTCCATGTTTGCGGGTGGGCAAGGTGAGACAGGTGTTGGGGAAGAGCCCATTTGGAGCTGAATGAAGCCTCAAGGGAGGGGACCTCTACACCCCAAACCCGAAGCCCTGAGCCTTATCGCTACTGGGCATCACAGGGAGCAAACGTGTCTACGCCTCGTGCGTTCACCCTATACGGTTGCCTTGGCAGTGACTTGCGGCGAGTACACAGCACATTAGTGTTCATGTAGGATTTAGGGTTTGGGGGTTTAGGACTTTAGGCTTGTATCAAGGCTTAGTGTTCCCTTACCTATACTACTGATGCACCCCTAAACATTCTAAACATCCTCAAGCTCCTGCACATCCTAAACCTTAAGCCCTAAACCCTCCCCCCTTCCCCCAAACCCCTAAACCCCTGCAGACCCCGGGCCGTCGAGAAATGGGCCCTCTGGACCACTGAAGTAAACCAAAAAAGCCACCGAATCCCGCCAAAACATCCTTCGCCTAAATATAGTCAACATCCTAAAGCCTAAACGTTGAACCCTAAACCCTCCTCCCCCCCCCCCCCCCCGCCCGAATACATGTAGGGCTTGGGGTTCAGGATTTGAGGCCCCCAGCACATGATGTTTCAGATGTGACAGAGCCTAGGGTTACCAAAGTAGCGTAAGACAAGCCCTACATCCTAATTCATCCTTGAACAAAGGTCTACACTCTAAACCTTGGCATTCA